CTGCTGCCCGGGATTTCCCATCCCTGCCCCCCAGAACCCTGGTGTGTGGCTCCGTACAGCCTTTTCCTTTGATTCATGTAGACGCATGGGTTCTCCACTTGCTTATAAACCACCCTGCCAAGCGAGGGCTGGGTGATGGCTTTTCTCTCTGTGACATTTTGGTGAATGGCTGACATTTCCCAGGAATGAATTGGACACAGACCCAGCCCTCAAGGTACTCCCGGTCCCACAGCTAAAAGACCAAACACGTAACGAGCCCTCCAGCCTCTCCTTCCATAGGTGGTTCTTGAGCTGCTTACTGGGTGCCAGCTGGTAAGACCGATGGTGCTGGACCCTGGCCGCCCCGGAACATCCTGGTATCATTGGGCTTCCCATCCCTGAGGGGTGAGGTGGCTCAGGTGAGCCTAAGAGGCCTTGGCAGGAGCTCATCCAGGAGGCCAGCACCTAGGTCAGTGGTTCTCAGAGTGTGTTCCCCGGCTCTGCAGTACCAGCATCTGCTGGGAATTTGTGAAAAATGCAAACTCGGGCCCCATCCTAGACCTACTGAATCCAGCACTGGGAGTGGAGCCCAACACTGTTTTAACAGCCTCCACGTGGTTCTGATGCTTGCTTAAGTTTGAGAGGCCCGGATCTAAGCCATGTTAAATGTTAAATGCTAGATTGGCTCCTGAGGCAGCGTGGTGTTATGAAGAGTGACTAGGCTGGGCAGGGGCACAGCACAGTGGCAAGCATGGTGATGGGGGCCAGGGGAGAGACGATGTTGGCCTGGCCAAGGCAGTGGCAGGAGGACCAAAGGAAGTGGACAGATGCCACCCTGCAGAGGATGCGGCGGATGGAAGGAATGGTAGGCTCTTTGCTGAGATAAAGGACCCAGTGGCAGATCTTTGGTGCTTTGGTGTGTAAGGCTGAAGTGTAGGGTTCTTTGTGCAGAGGGCAGTGTGGGAGGTGCCCACAGCAATGCAGCCAGGCCCTGGTTCTGTGTGCCCTTGGGTGTCATTTCATCTCCTTGAGCCAAGTGTTCCCATCTGCCAAATGACAAGAATGCTAGCCTGCTTCGAAGAGGGTGGTGCCCAGCTCTCAGGCAGGGAGCACCCTGGGGACACACACATCTCTGTATCCTCAGCTCAGAAGCCACCATCAGAGCTAATGTTCGTTGGCACCTCCACACTCTTGGCATGGATTAGCTTCATCTTCACCGATGAGGAAACTGAAGCAACTTAGAGGTTAAGAAACTCACCAAGGGTCTTGCTTTCATCCCCCTGCCGTGCTCCCAGTGAGTGTGTGGCCCAAGAAAACATGCAGAGCGATATGGTTCAAAAACACTACAGATAAATCAAGATGGAACCGTAAAACATGTTCAAATAACCTTCAAGAAAGTAGGAAAAGAGAAACAGGAAACAAACAGAACATGAGTAATAAAATGATAAAATGGCAGACCAGTCTGTCTGCAGGGCATCGTTCCTAGCACCTGAATGTGTTGGGTGGGTAGGAGGAGGCAGGTATGTGCTACTACCAGTCTGGAGCAGTGTGGACAGTGGAGGGAGTGACTGGGAGAAGCAGGCTGCAGGCAGGGTCTGAGTCTGAAAGGCTCCCAGACAAGGGCAAGAGCTCACATAGGAAAGGAGCAGTAAGGGGGCATGCTTTTTTCAGGAGGCTTTGCAAAGTCTGGCCTGGTCAGGTAGAGCATTTTGAAAGGTCTGAATGAACCTCTGATGTTTATGTATTGAGCACCTATGGTCGGTTAGTGAGAGTCTACGGAGCACCTGGGAGGGAGGCGTCAGACAGGATTCCAGTCCCGTGGGCCTGCTGTGACACTGCCAAGGGGATAGTGTTCAGCGTCAAATCCCCACCCACTCTACCTGGGGGCAGAGCCAGGCTGGGGCCATGGGGCTAGCTATGTGACCTTAAGCAAGTGCCTTCCTCTTGCTCTTTGGCCCAAAGTTGCCCAGTCTATAAAATGCAGCTATGATGGCCTGCCCTGTCTGGCCTAATGCCCTACCTGCTGAGCTGGGTGCCCTCAGGGCGCAGACCCTGTCTTTTGTCTCTTGCTAACCTGGAGCTGCCATTACATCTCCCCTTCATCCTGTAGCTCTTTCTCATGCTGCTATTCCACAGCAGCGTCAGGCTGGTGATCAGGCATGCCAGGGCCCTGGTGGGAAGGGATGGGAATGCACATTTTGGCTGCTAGCTGGCCTGTCTGCCCAGTGCCCCCATGGCTGCCACTTACATCTGGCTTATCACATAGGGAGTGTTTTGACAGAGTTTGGATTCAGACTCAGGCTAAATCCTAGCTCCTCCCCTTCTGAGCTGTGTAACCTGGGGCAAGTCATTTCCCTCTCTGAGCCTATCTCCCTGTCTATCAAATGGGTACAACCAGCATGGACAAGGTGGTGTTGAGAGGATTCTGTGTGGTCCTTGAAAGATATTTGTAATTCAGCTAAACCCCATCACCTCCAGCTCCAGGGTTACCTTTTCTGACCCGGAGCTGTTCCTGCCTGGCAGGCCAGGGGGACCTCTAGTTAGTGCCAGTTTCCACAGAGCATTCCTGATGGCTCAGGAAAAGAATAACAGATGTAATTAACTCCCAGTGACTGGCAGCATCGTGTTTTTATCTGGGCTGCGTCACCATGGCAGCCTCATGGCAGGGTTGTCGAGGGGGCGGGCAGAGCTATGGTTCCTGCCATTGTCTGTTCTGGAACGCAGGCCCAGGAGAAGGGGACCGGCACGGGCACCAAGTGGCACGTGGCTGAAGGCAGCCATGGAGTCAGGGGCCATCTGGGGAGAAGTGTGGGGTGGCCCATGGCCTGGCTTCCCCCCAGCTTGGGGCTCAGGCTCCCTGTGGCTCTCAAAGCAGAGTGTGTGTGTGCCTTGGGCGTGCTGAGGGTAGGAGGGTCTGTGGGGCTCCTGGAAGAGGCCCACAAAGTAGCCCAGGCAGCACTACCCCCCACCCCACCCAGGCTAGGGTTTTGTGGCCAGGCCTGGGTTCAAATTATGGTTCCACCACCTGCCATCTACACAGCCAGTTTTCCCCAACTGCTCATCTGTAAAATAGGAATCATTCCAGTTACCCGAAGGCTTTCGTTCAAACCTGTGTGTATAAGGCATTCAGGAAAGGCTCAGTTCTATTCTATGGGGGCGGTGAGCAGTCACCTGCCACCTTTCACTCAGAGTCAGGGCTCCCTCCTACCTTCCTCTTAGGGTGCAAGGTTCCCCCTCTCGCCCGCGTTTGTGGAGGGGAGGAAGCGGAACTAGAGATGCCCATCTGGCGTGAGTGCAGGACCAGGTGGGTACGACAGACTAGCTTCCGACCCTCATCTACTTTTCCTCCCCTCCGCGAGAGGGAGAGGGAGACGGCGGCCTGGAGACAGAGGCAGAGCCAAGTGGGGCTGTGCAAGGGTAGGAGGCGGGGAAGCAGAGCTGGAGCAGGCAGGGCGCCTGGAGGAAAGGAAGAGAGAGACTGGCCCACGCTCGGCGCAGCGCGCTAGGCGCAAAGGCAGGGCCGGTGGCACGCAGTACTGGCACGCATTACCAGTCGGAGCCACCCGCCTGAGCCCTACAATGGGAGCGGCGGAGACCCGGAGGGCGCGGTGCAGGGCCAGTTATTCCGGGCTTTGGGCAGCCAGGGGCTACCAGGCGTCTGTACAGGGCGCCGGGTGGCTGTCTGTGGGGCTCCAGGAGATATACCACCCTTTCCCCGCCGCACAGCAACCGCGTCGAGACGCCTCTTCAGGGACCTGGTGCGCACAGGCTCCTGAAACCTTTTCGCAGCTGGGGTACCTTTGCCCCAGGGACTGTGGATGGCGAATCTCTCGTCCGAGCTGGAGTCCGGCCTTCGCGCGCCCCCTGCTGGCCCGCCTCGGCTCCC